CGCTTCAGGAACAGTTGAGTTGTCTCCTGTATTTTGGCGACCTTGTCTTGTGGGATGGTGACCCTCACGGTCTGGTCCTTGTCGTTGAGGTCCAGCTTTGCTCCAACCCAGCTGATTGTCTTGCCCCCCTTCTGCCTTGGCCAACTTGACCGGGAATCCCACCACATTAATCCAAAGGAGGAGTGTGGTGAGATCCTCGGATGCGGTTTCCAAGGTCCCTGCCAGTACAAAGGCCGGATCATCCACATAAATTTGGGTGCTGGCCCTCGGCATGATGGATGCGCATGATCGCCCAAGCCACGCTGCGTATCGTCCCCACAGCGTTGGTGAGCTACCGGCTCCAAACACTAGGGTGTCGAAGATGATGAGCTCCATCTGGTCCTCGTGGCCTGGCTTGGGCCGCGCCGCCACTGTGTAGCGTTTGTCTTGACCTGAAGGTATATTCATGAAGGCGTCTCTGATGTCTACTGCTGCCAGCCATGGTGTGCTTCCCGATCTGTACACCCGGATGGCCTGCTGGGCCACATCCAGCAGCCGTGGTAGGAGAATCCGCTCTCCCTGGTTGCACAGCTGGTTAGCCCGTGACTCACGTAGGTCCCATATGATCCTGCTCTTCTTCGTTCCGTAAGCGTTGTACTTGACGACCACCCCCAGTTTGTTCAGCACGGGCGGCCGGCCCAGTTCAGCGGTGGCTTCCTCCATGCTACCGGATAGGTGGCAGAACCCCCGCCCCACGTAGTCGGAAATCAGGGCGTCCAAATCGTCAGCTTCTTCCTGGGCGGACTTGTAGTTCTGCCACCCTTCCAGGGAGCGGTATAGGTCTTGTTGGCCTTCTGGTCCTTTTGTCTCTGATGGCACTGTTGGGAAAATGCCATTGGTGGGGATGCTCTGGTGGTAACCAAGCGGTGCCCCGTGATCCAACCACTCGCACAGCGTGGCCGAGTCCGGGTCACCCGTGGCATTTCCCCAGGCTTCAATCACATTCGCCTCAATGGGCGTGGTGGCCCTGGCAGTCCGGTCTCTCTGCTTCTGTGCGCCTCCCAGCGCTTGAACAACCCGCGCTCTCAAATGAGCTATGACCTCCGCCGGGAACGGTATGGCCTCCCGACCCGTGAGTATGTCTCGCCCAATGGCGGTGAGCTCTGGTTGTGCAAGCTGTGCCTCCTCCAGGATGGCTCTGACTCTGCTGCCCGGTACAATGAGACCCGGTATTCTTGGAATGGCCAGGTGTGGATTCCTCATGCCTCCAAGGGCCAACCTGTTCTGTACCTCCCTATCGGTTGGCTTGATAAGGGAGGTGGTGTCAGTGGTAGCCGGTGTGTTTCAGAGGGGCTCCGTGGAGAGCTCCTCTTTCTTCCAGCTGGCTGAGGCATTCTTGTGTATGGCGACAGCGATGATCTTGCTGAGCAATGCAGTGTACTCACCTTGTGCCTTGGATGCCCTTTGCCTCTTGCCATCCACTGTCTCCCATCTCTGCACCGTGGACATGTGGGCGGCCTCATAAGTCGACCCGTCCTCTCTAGTGATCGTTTGCTTGGTGTGGTTGCACCTCTTGTTCTGCAGCGACTTGAGGTCCATCTTCTCGGTGCAAAGCATGGTTGGCTTGGTCGTATCCAGTCCTGTGACACATTGGTCAAAGCGAGTGGTGTCGACCCCCGGCCACTTCATCAGTTCCTTGATGCGTGGCATCATCCACAAGGAAGCTTTGCCTTCGGGGTGCTCTGGGTTCTCTAGTCCCCAGGGTCGGCCTTGTTGGTGCAATCGATCCGCCACTTTGTATGAGCGGTGCACGAGGATGTTGGAGTCCCGGAGTTGGCTTGCCTCGGCCTTGGTGGCATCCGGGATGCCGGTGATGTGCTCCACAGTTCTGATGACCCGCGGACCTGGTGGTTTTTCTCGCAACGGCGAGAAGGTGCCGCAGGGTGTTGCAATCCACCCGGCATCAAAGTACTCCGCATCCAGGTCTGCCTTGATCTGATCCCACTCAGTGTCACGCACCAGGTCGGTGGGTTTGGGCGCGATGGTGTCCAAGCAGCACACAAGCCAACCCAGCCTGGCCATCTGATGGGCCAAGTCACCCTCCCTGGATCGGCCAGAGAACATGATGAGCAACTTTGGTTTCTTCTGAGTCGGCCCGATTGTGCTGCACCACCACCCATAGTTCCTTGGAGGGTTCTTGAGCGTCACCGCCGGCCTCAAACCCGTCCCTACGCTCTCCTTGGTGGCAGGCACCGTCTGGGTCACGGTTTGGGAGGATGATTGAGAGGCAGTGGCGCTCAAGGATCCCTCTCCAGTGGGCTCACTTTTCTTGTCCTTGGTCTCCTTACTTGGTGCCACTTGCCACCGACGACGCCTGAGCGTCTCTCCGAGCTTTCTGCGCTGTCTCTCTCTGCTTCTTTGTGGGCGGACCCTCGGGTGAATTGGGCGCTACCCTCTTGCCAGGTGGTGGGTCTTCTTCAGCTTTGCCGGAACTGGCCTGCCCACCTGGACCAGTCCCACTCTTCTTTCAATCCTTCTTGGAGCCTCCGGTGCATGCCAATGCTTGATGGGGGCCAAGACATTGATTGCACTGATGGCTGCGGCTCGCTTTGCACTTTCCCTGGGCAGCTTTTGTGCCACACTTGCCTTGATTGTAAAGGCGGCATATCTCAAGTCCCTTTCGGTTGTGGGAGTAGGTTCCGTCGGTACCTTTCTGGGAATGGTCTTCTCCACGGTAGGTTCTGTTGTTGCGGCCTCTGCGGCGTTTTGGCTCTGCCGCTGATGAATCGGGGTCATCCCCCCCCGGTGGGCGCTTGTTTCGTGCCAGGAATAATGTTGCAGGAGTGCTCAGCTCTTTGTTCCAGAACTCGGTGTCCTTGACCGCTGCAGCGTAGCATGCGCTCCAAGGGGCCGCTGGCACATACCCATAGGCCTGGGCGGCATGAAGCTCCCTACGCAAACGCTCCAACTGTTCTGAGCGCATTCTTCCATCAGCTTGGCATATGAAGCTCCAGGTCTCCTCCCCGAACTGGGTGACAAAGCCCCTTATGCGCTCTGCATATGAGTCGAGCCGTTCTGCCTCCGCCGCTTCCAGGAGCAGCATGCCTGTTCGAAAGCAGCGCCACGCCCTGTACCACCCATAGAAGGACGAGGGCCCGGGCTGTTCCTTCCTCGACCACTCTCCATTGGAGACATTCAAAGTGTAGCTTTGGAAGGTTTGCCTTCGAAGCAGGCGCTGTCCATGCGGACCAAAAATGGAGAAGTCTGCATAGGGAACCACTCCAGATGCTATCACCTGGCTGAGGGCTGCTAGTTGATCCCGGCTGACATCTGCATCAGTGGACGGGAAGTCACCGTATCTTGTCCGGTAGCGTTCATACATCTGGGTAACCTCCACGTCCGTCAAGGGTTGAATCTCTGCGTCCAGGGTTGGATCTAACACTGCACTGAGCTTCAGCTTGCGGGCCTGCGCAGCTGGACCCACAAGTGCACCAGCTCCTCCTCCAGCAGGGGGGAACGGAGCCGGCAAAACCGCAGGTGGTGCAGGTAGTGCTCGATCGCCTGGTTGGTCCACAGCTCGCCCGGCTCGTAAGCAGCATACCCGACGGAGGGACTCAGTGCGAGCTACCTCAACGGGCGTAAGTGCTCTCCGAGGTGGTGCTGGGTCTCCCGCCTCTTGCAGGTCAAGGTGCTCGATGACACCGTCCCAGGTGGGGCGTGGTATGAGAGCAATCTCTCTGACTCTCAATGGGCCACCCAGCGCGGTCATCAAGGCGTCCGCCAAGGGGCCATCAACTCCGGCCCAACCACGTGCATCAGCCAGGCTCCCTATCGCCTGGAGCTCGGCCTCGGTTGGGTCCATTCCTCACGGCCCGGCGCCGGTTCGTAAACCGGATGGCACTGATGGCCAACCGCTCCCACGCAAGGAGGGCTCCCTGGTTGGATATGCTGAAGACTGGTGGCCACTCAAACGGCAGCACAACCAGCCCAGCCCCAACCACTAAGGTGGTAACCCAGGTGGTTGCCAGGAAGCTCAGAAGGGGCAAAGTGTGGCCCTCTGAGTCCTGGTTCCCACTCCAGATCACCACCTTTGAGCTGATCCCCGCGTGTGGTGCGAAGATCCCTAGAACCAAAATGGCGTACGAAACCCACAGCCTGCACTACCTACATTGTCAATTAAACATACATGTTATCATTCAACAATGGGAAGAACATGTCCTGGGAAGACTCCAAAGTTCCCTGAAGACACGTTCAATCTCTTCAGGTGGTTTGCCAAACTGTTCTCCCTCCGATCCGCCCTACCGCCCTACGCCCCACGCCGTGCAGTTATCGGGTCGCCCGAACCTGAACGGGTCGCCTTAACCTGAGCGGTGCCATGTGATCACCAGGGGCAAGATGTTTGGGAGAGCTCAATGCTGACAAAAAATAACGTTGAAGATACCCAGAACTATGTTGGAATCACTGCTTGAGGGAATCACCTTGAAAATACAATATCAGACGGATCTATCTATTCATTAGATGCAGGTTCTTCCACGGGGTTTCTGGATTCAGTCAGTTATTGTGTGTTCAAACACCTTGATGCTGCTCTTGGGGCCACTGGCAAAGCAGCGGGAGATGATGCAGGCAGTACCACCTGGGAGCCACTCTGAGACCAAGGATCGAGCAGTCAAAGGATCAAACATGGTACCAAATGGAAGCGAAGAAGTAGAGGAAGTGGTGGGAGAAGCTCGCTAGACTTGACTTCCTTCCGCATCCACGATTCTCGCAGCCGTAGGATTGTAGCGATGAAATTCCAGTAAGCAACCTTGAAAATTTCACTGGGTGCCCCGAACAGTGCGCAGGACAACCAATGCTCATGTTTGCTGCTGGCCACCTGTTCGGTGAATCTCTCCGCACAAAGGTCAAATACAAATGCAAATTCACTACTAGGAACAAGTGCATCGCTACTAGTAACAAGTGCCTTACTAGTAGTAACAAGAAGCTATTAGTAACAATTAAACTTCGTTTCCTACTTCACCAGGTCATTGTCCATCCAAACCCCAGGTGGTCGGTCTCCCCGTCCACCCGCCGCTGGCACCCCTTTTCCGTCTCCGCACGGTCCGCACGGTCTGCACATACAGTGCCGTGGCAGCGTCCAGTGGCAGCTCCTCCACAAGCTCGGAGACCATCGAAACCGAGGCATGAGCACCTCCTGGCCGGAGTGGGAGTGGCAAGAGGTGGACTTCCCAAGCACTGCAAACGAGGAAACCTGAGGAGAAGCTAGATGCAATTAGGAGAGATTCAAAGCAGAAAGGCATTCTATACTTGAACTGTTCTATCATTACAGTACTGAATCATCTGAATTACTACTTTTTTATAGTGTGATGTATAGTGACTTTTCTTTTTGTTTGGAAAAAGCACCTGAGTCACAAAACCTCCTGATTCGTTTCGACCAAACGTTTCCCAAGACCTACCAAAAGCATTGATTGGCTTCTTGGATGAATCTTGACAGTGCAGGCACGCTACAAAAGTGTTTGAGTTGTCTACCTGAACCATGCGTCCAGCCTCCTGCAAAGCCTTGGGGGCTCGCATGACATGAAAGCAATTCTCCCCACATCCGCGCAATCCCTCGCGTCAAGGTTTAGGCTGTCAGGTACCCTGCTGTTGACCGGTGTTGATACCTAAAGGATAAATTAACCACAAGCCACTCAACTGATTCCATAGCAATCAACCTGGTTGCAGCTATCCATTCTAAACTGATCATAAGCCGAACAACAGCTCTCAACACGCTGCATCATCGTCGCCCGTTCATGATTGCATCCTCCTCTCTGTCAGTAGCTGTCCTGGCCCGCTGAGTGGAGACAATTCGATTCGAGTCTATTTGCTCTTGGCACAATCCTCTAGGAGATGGCAGTAAGAACAAGATGGATATCACTCGCAAATATGGTCGTATGTTTAGACTTCCTTGGACAACGAGAATGTGGTTGAACGGTTGAACCGACAATGATCAGCTTTGAGACTCCCAGGCCAAAACTTATTTATCTGCACATTGCTCCTCGGCATGACCAAACGTCTCGCCTCTGGTCATGCAAAAGGTGGCTGACACTGCAAAAAATCAACAGAAGTGCCATGCAGGATTCCGAGTGCTGTTCCAGCAGCCCGTCACTGTACACCACCATCTTCCCAAAGGCAGGGTGCCATGCGGTTCCTCTACTTTTGAACGCGGGGAGGTGGCCCAGGTGACTGCACCCTATACAAGTTTTTAGTTTGATCTTAGTCATGGCCAAACTCTACTTCAAACACGGTACTTAGATGGCATGATAATCAATGATAATGCATATCGTAGCACAGGATAGAACAATGAGCTCTTGAAGCCAAGCCATGGCTAAAACAAGCACCAAAGTTGCAAAGACTCTACACATTGTCGGCCCTGCAAGCCAGCAAATCAAGCGTCTCGCCCCTGATTGGCTTCGCTTGCATGCAGAGGATTCATCGATCGAATTACTCTTCTCATGTCTTCTCTTTTTCAGCCCTCATACGACGGCATTCCCACATCCGAGTCCGTCCGCAGGGCAAAGCCAGTCTCTGTCCTCAAAACAGCATCGACGCAATACCCTCTCCAACCATCTCCAACCTCTCCAAGAAAAATTCACATCTGCATGTGACATGATCGCAAATTAGGGAAAACATGGGAGAACAGCTTTCGACACTTTGCTTCCAATTCCAAGCCAGGTCTCACGATCATAGGGTCTTCAGGTTCATCCTCGTCTTCCCCCACAAGCGCCTCCGAAACCTGCTGAGCACCCACGTCCTCCCGTTGTGGACTAACTTTCTTCAGCTTCGGACGATCCTTCCGTGGTAGACTCCGCAGCGCCATCTCCATGAGCTCGGCGTCCCGCTCCAACGCCAGGATGTGTGCGTCCCGCCGCAGCTCAAAGCCTGGTGTTGTGGTCAGCTACAAGGTCCATCAAGTCTAGGGCAATAGAGTGGAACATGTGCATGGCTGAACCAGGCTGTTTCATAATGTTTCATGCATGATCATGTATGTTATTTTCGTGCGACGCCGACGAGGACGGCGAAGACGAAGCAGAAGACAAAACAAAATATAAAACGACAAACGCGGAGACATGGTTGAGAAAAATTTGACTGAGGAGCCATGATCAGTGGCAATCTGCTCAAGTTCCAGAAGCTGCTCTTGAGCACATGGCACGAAAACAATCTTCACTGGATTTCCGTCTGGGTCAACGCCTTACTTGCAAAATCAATCTGGAAATGAAAGCGCGCGAAAAGGCACAGGAAAAATATGTTCATGTATGTCGTAAGACTTCACACAAATAATTTACTAATTGAATAGCTCAGGAGCTGCATCCAGCTTCCTGGACGCGATTGTGCAGCGCTTGCAAAGGCCCCTGAGGATTAAACAAAAGGTCGATGATGCGCTTTGCATTGGGGGAGCTTGTCAACCTGAACAATCGGACGCCATCAATGTTATTCACTGGTGGAACGTCGTGCAGACTCTCGCGCATGGCACGCATGAGTTCATCCGTGGCTTTTTGATCCACCGTCACGGCCTCATCAGCTTCTTGTGCATCGTGCTGATCTTGTTGGCTTGGCGAAGTTGCGCGAGGCTCTTGCAAATCCTCTGCACCAACCTCCTCGCTGTTTGAATGCCCTTGCGGCAAAGCTTGGAGTCCACCTTCTGAGCTGCCAGCTTTCTGAGAATTCATCTGAACTTGGAGTGTTGAAGCAAGCAGCGAAAGCGAAGCACGCTTTGCTTCGGCCAAGCATTTGCACCAAGCATGTGCTTCCGCCCACCAATCCAGTTGCTCAATGATCTTCGGCACATCCATAGAAAGAGCCACCACCTCATCCACAAGAAACGGGGGGAAGGGTCTCCCATTTGAAAGCTTGTTCATGGCTTGGTAGACTGCAATACCTTTGCCGGCCATTTCCGATTTCCACACCATCGACAATGCCGTGTGGGCTGCTGCCATCGCGGCAGGCCGGCGCGCTGGCTCCGCATTCAGCACACTACTCTCCGCACAAAAGTGGAGGCCGTCGCAGTCCGACAGCTCAGCGCCCACAGTAGCAAGGAAAGCCGCACAATCAGATTGCCCAAAGAGAATAGCGCAGTCCAAGAGCGAGATCGAGGGAAGCAAATTCCACTCAGTCGCTTCCAGCAAATGCCACTGACTCGTGTCAAGCACCTCCAAAGCAGCTAAGGAGATTCCGGCTCTCTGAGCACTTTCAAGCAGGTCCTTGCACAAATAAGGAATCCCCCTGTTGCTGCCTCCTTTAAAGAAGAGTTCTCCCAATGCATTCGGCTTTGGTGGTACCCAGGGAGTTTCAGGTGGTTGCGATAGGTCTGCAAAATCGGCCAAAGGAGATCCGGACAAAGCCATTGCAAGCCGGACAGGAATCTCAGGAACAAAAAAGCTTGGAAGTCTGATTCCATCTTGCCAAAAAGTGGAATTCCGTTGCTCGAGGCCCTGCAGCTCCACACCGGCCGCAAGGGCTGCAAGGAGAATGCCGCAATCTCGAAGTTTCAAGGCTCCGTGACCCAACTCAATCACATATTCTGCAGTCAAACGGTAATTCAAGTCTCGCCAGTGAACATCGAAAATCTCATCGCAGCTCCACCGCCGCAAAGGCCGGAGACGGGATCGCTCCGCGCAGCTCATGGCCGCCTCTTTGTCGCCGATGAGGATGGCGATATCGAGCAAGTGTGCCATGGCCTCCTCAGAGATGGCCAGAGCTTGCGGCAGAGCATCGTGGCAAAGCGCCTCTAGGACCATGTGAACTAAGGGCTGTTGGGCCATCCGGCTGGCAGCTTCTGCAGCATCCGTGAGGCTTGCATTCCAGTCCTTCATCCAAATGCCCTGATCGACCGGGAAGCCAAAGCAGCACCCTTGACAGGTCTGCCAACCGCTGCACCAGCAGTAGGAGTACCGCCTCGAGCCACCCCTGTTCTGGGAGTGGAACTTCTTCTTAAGGTGATGCACTTCCAACCTGCAACCTTTCACTCCTCTTTCAGCCATAGCCCATGCTGTGTCAACGTGGCCAAAAGTCAGGCACAAATCGAACAAATGCACGTCACCCCACTGAGAGGGCACCTTTTGGCCGAGCAAATCCTGGTTGCCATCCCTCAACGCTCCACCCAAGTGGAACTCCCTCACTCCAAGAACCTTCTCCTGGGAAGTCTGGGCATAGATCACGAAGTCTTGCACATCCATCCCGAAGTTCCAAACTTTGGAACTCTACCAGCTGTCGCTTGAACGGAAGCATCTCAAAACATTAGATCCTTTTGCCAAGACTCGCTAAACATCTCAAACCACACAGATCCGGTCCACACAGGGTCTCAATGGCCCGTCAGGTCCCGCGCGGGTCCTGGCCCTGGAGAGGAGCACCACATGGACCGACCTCGTGGACGTCACCCGTTGCGTCGGCTCTTCGGGGCGGGCTCTTGGCGAAAAGAACACCCAAATCGGTGGAGAGAACTTGAACCTAATTGGTTATTGACTATTGATTGAATTTGCCATACTTATATTATATATCCCTATATATATATATATTACCTATATACCACCGTTCTGGATCACATGATTCCAGTCCTTCCCATTTGGGCCATCAGTCCAAGCAAGGAGACGCCCGTCCGAAACCTCGCTCCTTTGGAGAAGTTAAGGCCTTCACGTATTGTCCGGCCAAAGTGCTGTGAGAGCCAGCATCTCCTGGTGCTGTGGAGAGCGCAGCAGTTGAGAGAGAAGGCCAAATGGGTAAAAATCACAATCCAAAAGAAATCTAAAGAATCTCAACATTTAACAAGAACCATGCACAAAACAAGCTCATCAATAGACTGTCATGCGAAACTGATGTCAATTGATTCTTTTTCGGCGGGGTGAAATTGCTCTTGCCTCTGCGTGACCTACAGCAGCTCGACACTTCCAGTTGCCAGCGACAAGTAATAATTAGCGCAAGCTCTTTAATGCCAATATAACTCAGATACTTTAGGGGAAGAAAAAGGTGAATTCTAACTTGTTCGGATCTTTTAGGATCAGTGCCTGCAAAAGCTGTACTTCAATGCCAGGGAAAAATGGAAGCATCAATAACTGCTGCCGAGATCAGACAATCTTCTGCTGCTGTGTTTGCAGCGATTGACTGAGTGAAAGCAGAGAAGATGTTCGCTGATATTGGTGCGATCCATGCAACATAGCTCAAGTGAAACATGGGTTTTGTTGAAGCTTAGCGTCCCCTATGAACAAAGGGGAGGTCTAGGAGATCCAGGCGAGGCCGGTCGAGGCTGAAATGAACGAGTCTGTATAGTATATGTATACCATAACATATACAATAACAAAAGCAGTAACAAAGTCGAGTCGTTCTCAGCACCAAGGCAGCAGCTGTCAAAAAAATGGATGGCATATGATGGCATGTATGCCTTTTCCGAGCTTTTCATATAGGGCCGCCCGACCCTAGGCGCCGGCTTGGCCGGACCTGCGGGGTCGAGGGGGTGCGGTCTGCGGTCTGTCAGACCTGAAAGTGCTCGGATCCGGTGCGGAGGACGTCATGCAGTCGCGCGACCTGGCACGAGAGGAGCTGAAATCGATTTCCCGAACTAGGAGCCCAAAGACGGAGACATGGCGAAGGTTCATGGAGAATTCAGGTTGCTAAGTGGCCTTTTGGGATGAAGACGAAAAGGGAACTCCGAAGGAGTTGGTTGGGATGGAATGGGCACTGAGGTTCCAGCTTGTGGGTGTTGCAGGTCTGCGTGAGGTGGAGAAATTTGAATGTGAGGAAGCAAAAAAGAGCTGTGAGGACAACATTGTTGAATTGCAATGATGAAGAGCAATCAACGCAGCAAAGCTCAACCATCCGAACTGATCGCAACAGTTGTCTGCCATTGAAGCCAATTTAAGATAATTTAAGCATATTATGACACATTGTGTGGAATATTGAGCTCTTCAAGAATCTGGCGTTTGGGGGCATCAAACCTATCAAGCCCTGGTTCAAGCAAGGAAATTTCAACCTCCCCAACCAAATCTCTGCATCATGTTCTCCCCAAGTGATTGAGATCACCTACGGATCCACGTCTCATCTGCCGACGGGCGACGGAGTGGTGCAAATGTTTGATCTCTCTGCGTGTCCTTGGCGTTGAATGGTGAGGAATAATGAGTCTTGTTTCTACTAGCTTCTTGTTCCTACTAGTAAGGCACTTCTTACTAGAAGCGATGCACTTGTTACTAGTAGCTTTTTGTTTTTACTAGTGAGGAATAACCAAACAATGGGTCGGGGCATCAGGTCTGTTCGTAGCAAGCAACAGATTTTTTGTGAGAAATCGGTCCTCTCCCGTCTTGGGGTAAAGCCTATTGAATGGCGAGCGCCTATACTAACTGTATAATTCACTCAAACTTGGTGCTACAATCGTGTGTGGTATTCAATCCTGGAAGAGTACTTCACAAAGCCTTGGTGCCACACTCCAGGTCACCCGGTCCTCCAGAGAATATTCTGACCCGCAGAAGCTTTTCGCCCTCTGAGTCTTGACCATCTTACCCCTTCAGAAATTCTTTAAAACATCTCTGACTCTCTGACCATGACCTCCCTCACCAGCTTGCAATGGTAGCCAAGGGTCAACTTGTTTTCGTAGCTCATCCGGGCTAGCTGCAACCCCTTGGCTGTACCATGGAGGTTCAAGCAGCCTTTGATGAACTCGTCCTGCGGAACGCTTGGGAACACATGCAACAACTACGAGTACCTGGGAAATCCGAGAGAGATCTGTGCTTAAGAAATCTTAGGATTGCTCAATAGCTCTTTTCAATCATCTTGTGGGGCATCCAGGACCCAATGCTCTTCAATGATCTTCATTGGACGTTGCTTGTCATGCAAATCCCCTCTCTTTGTCTTTGGTGTCTTTCGACTTTGCAACTGCAAAAAGCCGCCTCCCTTTCAGCCCACTAAACAGCCGCACACACGGAGCGAGCACGCCGGACGGTCCAGTTCAACCAGGCCACTAGCGTCCTCAGAGGCGATATGGATCGTTGGGGCTGGGACCCTCGAACCTCTGGCTAGCCTGTATGGAGCGTTTTGACACCCAACACACGCATGATCACATGACTCGTCATCAGTATAGTTCACGAACTGTTTTAGGTTGGGTCATCTATAGTGTACCATCAGCGGCCCCATTCTCACCTCCAAAATCCTTCTGTCCTTCTCAGCAAACATCCCTTCTTCCATCCCCACCGGATCTGGCTTCCCCAGGCACATCCATCTCCCGATCTCCGGCCCCGACAGCCTGAGGCTCGGACAGGTCCCGAGTCGAACCTTTCAGTTTGGCCAAGGCTCGGCATCCAACAATTTGAAGAGGACGCCTACATCTTCCAAGTCCGTGGAGATGCCTCGATCTGTCGGTGCGAGGGAAGGCTAAGTACGTAGGCTACAGAAGTGTTGAAAGCTACGCAGATCCTCAGAAAAACTTAATCGTTGAAAAACGTGGAATGCTGCTTGTGAACCAGGATCAAACAACAGCTGCTTGATTCACAGTGAGATGAGCAGCCATGTGGTTGGTGCGGCTACCGCACATCCACACCACAGTGACTGACAAGTTAATACTTTCAATCCTGGCTCACAGCTCAAAACCCTAGCCTCCATAACGGTCTCACTTACCCCTATAGGCCCTACACCTGCACCGGATCTACCTCTCCGACCGACCGCCTCTACCTCTCCACCGAGCGCCATCCTCACCGAACCGAGGGGCCCATCGACTGCAGGAAGGCGGCGAACTTTGGGATGGACATCGCCGCCTTGAACCTTGGCCCAGCGCGAGAACGCGACGGGGGCGTGTGGGCCCGGAGGAGGTGCCCCGTGAGCTGATGTGACTTGCAACAAAAGATCAACAGGTCTTTTGGGGGGGAAGGTAAATCACTTGGCCTCTACAAACTGCCTTCTCCAATGTGCAGGGAGAATAGCTGTCTTTGAAGCAGGGGTGTGAGCTTCGTCTAGTGTACTCAGCAGTCCTGTGTCAGCCTTGGATGAAGTGCAAATCTTCCTTACCGAGTGAATCCAGCTGCTACTCCTTCTTCGGCTGCCAATTCTTCCGAAGGGTAAACCCTGTGGACTTGGAGGTAGAACTCTGATGTTCGAAAAAACATGGAGCGAACTCGAAAAGACATCTCCAGGAATCCAATGATTCTGACCACTCTTCCACCATGTTCCACCCAATCTCACGGCTCGTCCGTTCTTCGGCCCCAGGAGCTGATCGATGCTGACCTCCTCATTACGCTCTCCACCCGAGATCTCGCTAAAGAGGGCCTTCAAGTCCTTTGGACTCGAGGAATTTCCGCACGTGACGTGACGTGACTGGTCCAACGGTGACGTGACGTTCGCCGAACAATGGAGACCACTTCACGTCTGAAGTGTGCGCGGTGTGCAAAGGATCTGACTGAGAAAGAAATCATAGAATCATAGGCAATTTGTTGTTTTGCTTGCACTGCATGATTGAATGACCCAAATGCAAGCAAGCTACAATGCGGTTTTGTCAGGCCGGTCCACCCTCCATAAGCTTCATGCCTATAGATTTGTTTTCTGAAGTGTTTCTATCAATGTGTCAAGTTGTCTGTCTAATGAGTCCGGAACCGCCCCGGCAGCGCGTCATCTTCGCCGCGGTCCTCTACTTGCGCTTGGTGCTTTTGAAGCTGCTTCATGACGGCCAGGTCTTTATCAGCCGAAGTCGTTTCCATCGCGGTGGTCACCTGGGCGGGTGCCACCAAACAAGGTCCCTCCATCTCAGCCGGACAACATCAACTGTAACCTGCTTGCCTGTCGACGTTTGACTGCATCGCTGCATGTGAAATGATGATGAATTCTGGCTGAAATAATTTGCGAACGGATGAAAAGCGTGCCCTAGCCCCGTTCTAGCCCTTAGTTCAACATGAAGCTCGCGCGCTAAAGCTCCTTTTTACCTGGTTGGGCACTTGAGCCAAAATGGTATGGCAAGTACCTATATAGAAGCTATACTGAGACCTCATCTCTATTGACACCCCCCACATCCGTGCTTCGACGGGGAAGGGAGATGAGTGGATGTAAAAACCGGAGAACGAATCATGCTCTCAAAAGTGCATTGGAGGTCAACCAGTATGTCCTATTGATCTGAATTAGCAAACGATCTTGCATTCGTTTGAAAGTTGGGTCAAACAGGTAACGGAGCTACAAACGGAAAACGTGCATCTACCTATGGTATCCTGCGATTACCGACGGTGTGAAACACAATCCTATTTCACTCCCATGATGCCAAAATGGTCATCATGAATTACCCAAGATCCCTCAGTACTTGAAGTACCGGAAGTAGTATGTCGGTATGACTCCGATGCTCAACCATTCGTGAGTTGTCGCATGTAGTCAGCTCCGACAAAGCCAATGTAGTCCTTGATGAGCTCAACATTCCTCGGGTTTCCCCTCCGGATCTGCTCCTCGAAGGACTTCAACTTCTGCGTTTGAGTATCGGATACCTCTATGCCGTAATAGCGGCACGCAACGAGGATCTCCTTTGTGACATTCTTCCGCTCTGACTTGATGGCGGGGCTAATGTCAATGAATTTGTATGGAGCGGCACCTTCATCGTCTGGTTTCTGGTAGTAACTATATCGGCTCGCTCCGAAAGTCTTCTTAATCAAGCGTCTGATGAAATTTGAGATGAATGCCAGTTTCTCGATGATCTCTTCCTGGGTCTCAGATCTTTGAGCCTTCGGATCACTCATGTTACGCCGGGTGCTGCCGACCTCTTTGAGATACTTGTGGCTAAGCCCGCAGCGGATTGCAGTGATCATCATCGGGTGAATGACGTGGGCATGAAATTCATAGATCTGCCACGCTTCTGTTGCATACGTGTCGTTGGTCCATTTGCTCATGCCTACGACTTCGGCTCTCTGAAGGCGTCTTGGAAATCCAGTATCCGGATCATTCGGTACTAATGGCCATCTATTGAATGGAGTATCATGCCGCTGTCCCTCGTCGAACTTTCGCAGTACGTCTTCACGACTCTCGAAGCAATTGATGTCGAACGTTGCGTTGGCCAAGCTCTTGATCAACTTCATCAACCTCAGATCAAATTGCTGTGTGACTGCAAAGTTGTGGTCGATGGGGATCGCAGCTTCTTGCGGCAATTCGTCAATTGCGAAGGGGAAAGGCTGTGGAAGTTCATTCCCGTACCCATCTTGAGGGACCTCCCGATATTCGGGTTCGCCTTCGGCTTCGTCCGGTCGTTCCTTCATGATGATAGGAACTTCCTCGTCTTCCTCACCTTCGGACTCCTCGACGTCAATGACTTCTTCGGCTGTCTTGCGTGCATTCTTGATGACTTCATCGATGTTTGCACCTGCAGAAGAAGTTGCTTCACCGGAAGAACTGGCTGGCACGTCTCTCGGAGGTGATCGTTGATTGCGGTCCCTTGTCTCCTTGGGTACCACATGCGTGAGCTTCCCATTTGCGATCAGAACCGCCACGCAGTGCGGACATATCGTCAATCGCACATCGACTTCGCCAAGACAGTTGGGACACGGTCTTGAGTCATAGTCTTTCATTGCTCGGCGGTATACGATCTCCTCAAAGATTTCCTGCCATTCGGTGCTATCATACTCTGGGTAGACACCGCTCTCCTCGACCATGCTCAGCAGCTTTGTGATTTTGGCGTCGTCCTCGGAGTAAGTATCATCCTGGACTTCAATCGCTAAGCTCTCAAGCTTTTGATAGCGTGGAGTCATGGTCGGGTTTCCGTATTTGGACTCCAGAACAAGGTAGCTTCCAGGGTCGGGTTCTCTATTGAGTAACCTGATCCATTCGATTTCCTCAGGCTGTCCGGGTTCTGCATTGTCGCATTGCAACCATGCCCCTTTAACCTCATCGAAGGGAACGACGTCCTCAACCAATAGAGATCCAGTCGCTGAGATGAGAAGCCCGTACTCCTGCAGTTTCGACACCGGAATGTAGAGAACCACCGGGCGATCACTCAATGCGACCTTACGACCCAGCCAAGGTTTTCCCTTGTAGCCCTGCTCCCAGGCCCATGGCGGAAAACATGTGAAGTGGATAGAATCCCTTCCCGATGTACCGAGACCTCCTGGCACTAGCCCCCGTCGCATGATTGAAGTCAGCGCTCCAAGATTGGTAGCGTGAAATGCAGTCACCATGGATAGGGCCATGTCGTTGGTCATTCTCGATCCAATGTGGTCGATGTTGATGGTAACGTCATAACCTCCACCGTCCGACGAGTGTGCTGAGGTTGCTCTTACAGCCACGGGAAAGCACCATCCATCGCTATTGTGGAGTCTTCCTTTGGAGATTCCCATGCCCTTGAGCTCGTCAATCCATTCCTTCTCCATCGGATCATCAGGATCATTGAGTTCATCAGGGTGAACGCGAACTGCCAACATTTGGAATCTGATCCTCTTGGTTATGCGGAAACACTCATAGTTCTGGTCGAGGTACTTCTCCAAACGCGCCTTCTTGGTCACAATGTCAATGTTGCCATAGTGATAACCGTCTTCCCAAACTGCGTTATCACCTAACAGGTCTTCCCATGACACCCATGCGCCTTCATCGCATTTGATTGGTGTGAGTCTTCCTCCTGTTCTGAACTGGCGTCCAATTCGATGCCTCAACTTCGCTCCCAATCGGCGACTCAGGGCCTGACTCGCTTGGCTGTATTCAGGTACTCGACAGTCTGGGGTCGGATACTTGAGGTTGCCGTAGTCGGAGTTCTGTGCAGCGAAAGTGACTCCGTTGATCGGTACTAGCTCAACTTTCCCGATCATCGTCGTGGGGTCGATCGGCTTGTATCCCTTCTCCCTCCTTGTCGGTAGGGGGTAGAATTGATGACATGCCTTTGGTTTGAGGGAGCTGGAGTGCACAAATGCCCTCTCAACAAACTCATACACCACCCTCATATCCCTAGGGCCAACTTCCGCAAGCTTCCGCCCATTGTAGGAATGTGTCCCTCCTTCGACTCCATCGGCACTTTCAATCAAGGTGAACCCGTCATGGTCAAACATTGTCACGACTCTTGCTTTCAACATTTCTTTTCGCCTGAACTCGCTGTCGACCTTCCTATCTGGTGTAGGCGATGCTCTCTGCTTCTTCTTCTTAGGCTCCTCTGCTGGATGTCCGGATGGTACATCGTCGGGTGCAACCTCTCCCTTCACTCTCTTTTTCCAATCGCTCAGCACTGAGGTGACTGTGGGTGAAGATGAAGGGATCTTCTCGCAATTGAGAGTTGTGTGTCCCGACTTCATGCAGTGGATACAGAATTCTGCTTGCCCGATCTTCTTCTCGAATTCGTCGATGGCTTGCAGTATTGATGTCTTCGGATCGGACATGTCAACGTCTTGCTCCTCCCTCTCCTGCTCACCCTCAGTTTCCATATCGACACCTTCGGCCTCGGGCTGGTCAGTAGCTTCTGCTCCCTGTTCTGGTTCTTTCCCAATTTCGAAGAAGTGGTCGATATCGAATTCAGGAGGCGGCATGGTCCTCATGCGAACGAGAATCAGTGCCACGTTTGCCGCCTCTTCAGAATGCGGGTCCAATGTTCTGATCATCGATCGCTTTCGGTTCTCATACGTCGTCCTGTCATACAGCGATGCAGTGACGCGCTTGATGGATTCTTCTAATCCCGTCCTCAAAGCCTCAATGTCACCCCATCCCAAGAACAGGTGTTTGAAGAGTTGAGCAACTTCCAACATGCCCAGCAGCGCCTCCACCATATCACCTACCCGTTCCTCCGTGGGATCATCTCCGAACATCGTGCGGAATACATCGGGTTCCAGTATGGTCTTGAGGTATTTGGTGTAACACACGTTTCCAAGGTCATAGGACCCCTGGTAGTACTTGGCGCTGCCGACTATCTGTTTTTCCACATGGATGCTGGGTCCTCTCCTCGTTTTGAAGAAGTTCTCCGTCATTGTTGATGACAATCTGATCCCCCCGAAGAACGAGAGCTCCTTCTGGAAACCGGGGTTCCCGTTAAAGATGATCATCGCTTCGTGTAAGAACTTCATCAAGTCTACGTGCGGGTTCATCTCAGAGATCATGACGGTGGGAGATGATACCGTCTGCCCCATGCCGAAGTTGTAAAGCATTCGAGCACATGCATGGAACCGCTTCTGGACGTAGTCTTCTGCGGACATCCCACGGCACCTATTTGCTGCTCCGTTGATGCATTCTGCATAGCAATCATCTTTCTGATCGGAGTCTATGGGATTGCAGACCAAGCAGTAGTCGCAGCAAATCTCCTCACCCTCCTTGAAGTCATCGATGACGTACCACCTTTGAGTCCTCGAGTAGATTGGCTCTGGTTGAAGGACTCCCCAGTACTCATCCATCCATGGCATTTTGTTCTCTCTCCTTACCTTCTCCCTCTTCCTTCGCTCAGACTCGTTCTCACCTGAAGCTCCCGCAGTGGACTGATATGTCTGGCTTCCCCTCACGGAGTCTCCGAACAAGTACTGATACAACCTCTCTTTGTCCTGCAACACGTGTTCCAAGTTGGGATCATGGAGGCTATTCGCTTCGGTCAAGGGATCCGGTGCCATGAAGCAAGAAGCGAGCATCTTTTCTCTGAACAAATACTTTTCCATGACAGCGTGGACCAAAGAGGTTCCAGACTTCATAGAGTAGGGGTGACCGCCTCCGGCGACCGAAATGGCTCGCCAGAATCTGTCCGACGTCGTGGACATCATGCCATTCAGCGACAGCTCGTCCT